ATATAACTCTGTCCAATTTCCCCGCGACGCTTCCCCTCTTGCTGGTCAGGAGGAGGCGCTGCTGCTGCTGCTGTTGCTGCTTGCACTCGGTATCGCACGGCATGGCGGGGTGGCCGGCGCGCACGCGGATGTCCGGAGGGCGAAGCCCCGGCGAGGCCCTTGCTCTCCTCGCGCACAACAACAGCATCAGCGAACTGGAGATAGGCCCCCGCAGCGCCACGCCCCGCCACGCCTCGCCACGCCCCGCCACGCCCCGCCACACCCGGCTAATGACGAGGGATGTGCATCAGGGCCCGAGGAGGGCAGTAAACTTGACGAGGCTCCTCCCTTGTCCCCTCCCCCTCCACCTCTCTCTCTCTCTCTCTCTCTCTCTCTCTCTCTCTCTGAATGGTGCAGCCTCGGAGCAGTCATGATGATGAATCTCAACGCACCGCGCACACCACCGCAGACAAAACAACAGCGGCGTAGCGAAACCCAGTTCCCTCCTCTACTTTCTGCTCCATTCGCCACTGCTCTCCCCGAACAATAGCGAAAGCAATAAAACAAAAACAATAGCGATAAAGACCACTAAAAAAAATAAAAAAATCAAATGGTCACTCCGCAGGCCGCCACCATACCACCACCACAAAGTAGTCGAGGACGCGCCTCGCCAGATGAGCCATAAGTCTTATGGGCTGTCAGGTGTCCGCCTCTATACGATCCCCTAAAAGCCCGTCGGCCTAGGAAGGGAAGGGCGTAAAAAAATCACAAACCGCAACTTGCGCACACGTAAAGGAGGCGGGAGAAAGGGGTGGAGACTCTCCTGGAGAGGGGGGCGGGGCTGCAGAAAGAAAGGCGAAGTGGTCCTGGACAACACCCTCCTGCTCTTCTCGCACACCAGAGAGTGCCTGGGCACCAGCCGGGCGGCCGGCAGCGGCAGCAGCGTGCTGACGTGTTCGTCTGCTTTATCGACAAACTTTCTTTTTATCCGTCAAAGACCCAGGCCCCCCGCGCCACCCCGCGGCTAGCTCGTAGGGGAGGGAAGCGACGTCCACACCAGCAGGGCGGGGCGGGCCCACCGGACGGATCGCTCTCCAATATTCCAGCCCCACAGACGTCGCCACTCATCCGCGAGAGAGAGAGAGAATGAGAGAGAGAGAGAGAGAGAGAGAGGTACCCGTCCGATACGGTGGACGCAGCCGATATTGTTACGGGGCGGTGCCGTATATGGAGCGGAAGACAGGAAAAAAAAGTGCCCCCCTCCCCCACCAACACAACAAAAAAAAACAACAACTAAGATCTAAAATAAGAAATCATAATTTAAGTAAAAATCTCCCCCAAAACAAACAATATTAGCTTATCTTTTGTTACCTCCTCGTCTGCAAAAAGGACTCCATTTCAGGCTCCAAACGCCGTTTGTGGGGAGGCACTCACCTGAAACACAGAATAAAAGAAAGTCGAATAAATAAATAATTATCTGCAGATTGATTATTCTTTCCTCGCCCCGCTTTGCAGGCCCGGAGGAGGGGCGGGGCCCGCTGCGGTGTAATGACAAGTAGACTACCAGGGGATATTTACATTCATTGCCACTTTGTCCAGGAGGAGCAGAGGGGAGGAGGAGGTGGGGCGGGCAGGAGGCTGGGGACGGGCAGCCAACCACGCGCCCTACATTTGTGGTCGTAAGTCAAAGCGGCCCAGGGGCATTACGGGGGCTTCAGAGAGAGAGAGAGAGGGGGGGGGGGGCAGCGGAGAGGTCGGTCCTCTTCAGGGACCCTGGGCGCCGATGCTCCCTTCCACCTCGGGATTTCACCCCCTTCTACAAGGAGGACCCCCTCCCGTGCTACCGCATTGAATTCATGTGGCGCCGTGTATGGCGACGCCCGTCGAACACCACACCGTTGTGCGCCGCCGATCAAAACAGCAGCATCAAAACGGTCTGCTGAACGGTCCAAACAGACAGACCCACGCAAATGGGGGCTTTGCTACTGCCTCCGCCTCCTCTCGGCTCGCGGGCGGCGAGGTTTCCAGAGAGGCCCCTCCTCGATAAGACCAAAGCCATCCTAATGACGACGATAATATCCCCCCCTTCCCCCCCCCCCCCCCCCCCCCCCCTCCGATCATTAGCATTAGTGTCGGACAATGACGGGGGGCCGGGCCGGCATCCACCGACCGCTCAAATAAACAGGAATCGGGGGCCTCTGTGTTATCGTTTATGGTGGAAGTGGTAGTGCTCATATTAGTAATACAGTTGATTAGTGATACACTTACCATCAACACTCCACGAAGAAAAAAAAATCTCAATCAAGAATCGATCTTGAAAGCAGATGATACAAATTTATGAATAGGGCTATGTTTACATTTTCTCTCATCAGGTGCTATGTGTTTGGTTTTGGTTGGTCGCAATCTTGCAATTCGGCGGCCTAGTGGCGCAGAGGAGGACATTTTGGGGAGGGCAGGGGGGCAGTGCGGCGAGCGGCCCAGTTGTATTGTTGGGCATGGAAGGGGTTGGGGGCCCATCCCGCGCAGTATTGTTAGCGCGACACTCACTCGGACACCATTCCGCAGCGCTCAAAAAGATGACTTCTGGTTTTCCTCTTAGTTCTCTTTCCTGCTCATCGAGAGTTAAAGCTAGCTGCCACCTTAAAGTTACTTATTATGTATTCTTTATATTTAGTCAAAGTATTTAAGGTATCATCTGCTAAAAAGACTTTGTTGTTGGGTAGGCTAAATTCGATAGCTGGAATCGAGAATCCGCGGCTACTCACAAGCAGGACTACTTGGTTGTCACGACCGGACACTTGTACGAATAGAACGCTGGAGTTTGTTGTATTCGTAGAAGTGTCCGGTCGTGGCAACTAACTCCTGATTGTGAGTATCGGATTCTCGACTCCAGCTATCGAATATAGCCTACCAAACATAATTGATCGTCACAACAAAGTCTTTTTTTACGTCTCCTATCAGTAATAATAAAACTCTTATGAGAAAGTAACAATCTTACAATAACTCCTCGGGAAATAATGGCCCTAAACACAGTTACATATTTAAAATGGAGACTTTTTTATATTTTACTTATTTTATAGGCCCATAAGAGCAAGAGCGTGGCGCTACACATGTGCAAAACTTCACACACCAATTACGATCACATGACACGGAGCGAATTAAGGCGGTAGGAGCGCACGGCCAGTCTGGGAATGGCTGCGTATTAAAATGTTTTGGTGGCGTCCGAACGGTCGGGCAGGCCCTGCGGGGTGCGGGCGGGTGCGGGGGAGGTGGGACTGCACACTCCCGATAGGCGTGACGAATCCAGATGGCGAGGACCCCGGCCGCCGGGGTCTGCCTC